TAAACGGGTTCATATTATATTAGGGCATATATTAAGATTAGCTGTCCCTCTTAAAAATCGATGAATTTTTTTTTAATCGGTAGGAAATGACTCAAAAGATGTGTTAATGATAAAAAAAAAGTGCGGAAAAGTGTAGTACTTACCGAAAAATCACTTTAAAGTTGCGATTTGACGTTTCTTTTTGGAAGTTAAAAGCAATGTTAAAATTGCATTTTCGTATTAAATTCTAACCTGAAATTGTTTAATTTATACCCACGCACTAAATAAAAAGTTATTTTCACTAAACTTGTTGAGATTACAACATATTTTCGGATGAAAACCTTGTTTCTTAGGCTATCGATGCATAACGACAATTAAATGTCATTAGATAGAATTGTTTCTACCAAATGTGTATTAATAGACTTTGTGTTAATAGATTGTGTATCAATTGATCTGTTAAATGACTGAAATATCTTCATATTGTAAATATAACTGATAAATAAGTATAGTAGCTTATTTAATAGTAGTTTTCTTAAATTAAAAATAGTTATTAAAAAAGACATGTGTATACATGGTTACAAAATAAAAATAAATAAATAACCCGTGTGACGATAGCAACAAACCTTCCAACAACTAACTTTTACCCAAAATTTCCTTAAGCTTGATTCTTTCTCTATGAAATCAGAAAGAACGCTCCTTCAAATATCTTAATCCGGGTTTTTGTCGGTCAATATTGTGATAATATGTGTATTCTATAATATGTCTTTCGAAAATGAATAAAAATACTTTAATTAAATACAATAAATAAATAACAATCTTTAATAGAAAATAGAAAAAATACTTTACAAACAAAATTATTGAAACAAAAAAAAATATCTAACATGAGACTCTACAACAAAAAATAACGAAAGTAAACGATCTCAGGGTTTCTTTTCTAGGGCTCATGTAAACGAAACACAGTTGCTCATGTTTAAAAAAAAAACATTTAAGTTAATCTATAACTTTCAGCTCTAAAACTTCTTAAATAAATTGATTCTGATAATTGAAATAATCAAAGTGATCTGAAATAATTGATTTTGATTCGCTCTGGATTACACACGAGGTAAGTGAGTTATTTTTTTAGAAATGGTATATCGAAAATAAAAAAAAAATCTTAACTTCTTTGGTTTTACAGATGTTGGTGGAATTGATTGAAATCTTGATTCCTCCCTGGTTTGAACTGCTCCTTTTTCCCCCTTGGTGGAATGTGCTGGTACCCCCTTGGTGGCTTTCCGGAAAAACTATTCCGATGTCTTCTTTCCCAGGTTGGTTATCGTACTCTTCTTAATTAATTTTAGCTTCTTTTCTTCTCCCTCAATTGTGAATTTCTTTGGTTATGTTTTTTCTTCAGAAATTTATCTTCGTAGGATTTCACGAGCGTTTCGAAATAGATGTTTACTCAATGATGATCAGGAAGCGAATTTTAGCGTCCTCGTTATTCATTTTTCACCCTTTTTTCGGCAAAAATCGACAAAAACTTCTCTTTTTTGTCCATCACCCTCTTTGATACCACAAGAAAAAGTGTAAAAAATTTGTATTTCTGAGCGCCATCTCTTATTGACATTTGGTTTTTCTTCCAAATTTTCAAAAATTACTTTTTAAATAAACTATATTTATTGAAATCCTTCAATGTCTGAATACTCTGAATTATTTCATTCCCCTTTGACACAATTTTTCACATTAATTCTTCTTTAATTCCAAAATTTATATTCCGTTTCTTTCAAAATCTTCACATTTTTAATTTTCAACATTTCGGTTTTAAACTGATTAAAATCACTTGAATCTGATGTAATTCATTATAAGCTTTATGTTTTTAGGTATTTCAAGAAGTTTTTTGGCTGTAATCACCCATAAATTGAATACTTTGGATTTGGAGGTTATGTTTCGTTTTTTTGTGGCCCCTTTTTTTTTTAACTAAATACAAGAATATTTCTTAATCTACGACGGAAATACGAACGGATTTATCATTGATTAAAACATTTTTACAAATAACGACGAAATCAATGAGAACTATAACAAACTTTTATGAAATTTTTCAACGATTAGCTTTAACTATCCTCGGTATATCAACTTTGATATCAATACGTGAGTTGTTCTTTATATTTTAATTATAATATTAATTTCAACGATTTGGAGAAGTACTAATAAACTCTCTAGGCTCTCGATTTACAAGGATTTTTCTACGGAATATCATTATTTCCTCTTTATTGTAATTATTTCTTATAACAAAACTATTGTTTATTAATTAATTGATAAAATTATGAGTGGAACCCAATATTATTACAATATCTATTAGCATCATGGTTAAATCACCTTTAATATATGTACATCTCTACAGTATGTCCCCGGATCGAGTTACAAAGAGGAAAAGAAATTTATTAAACGATGTTTCGTATTAGCCAAGGATTAAGCTTTTGAATGAGACATTCTTTATCGAAATCGGTTAATTGGTTCTCATGTTATAATCAAAATACTACACATGTAAAATCCTATCTAATTGGGGGCTAACTTCACATAGCTGTCATTATGAATAATTATGTTGTAATCTCAACAAGTTTAGTGAAAATAACTTTTTATTTTGTGCGTGGGTATAAATTAAACAATTTGTGGTTAGGATTTAATACGAAAATACGTTATGGTTAACGTTGCTTGTGTTGTCAGTTAAAATTGTCATTTGGTTAAATACACAGTTTGTTGCCATCGTCACACGGGTTATTTTTTTATTGTTATTTTGTAACCATGTACACGTCTTTTTTAATATTAATTTTTAATTAATTAACTGTTTTAACTTAAGTAAGGTACTGTTAAATAAGTTATTGTACTTATCAATCATTTATATTTATAATATAAAGATATTTCAGTCGTTTGACACATGACATGTCGTTTGACATTTGATACACAATCTATTAACATAAAGTCTATTAACACACATTTGGTAGAAACAATTCTATCTAACGACAGGTAATTGTCGTTATGCATTGATAGCCTAAGAAATAATGTTTTCATCCGAAAATATGTTGTAATCTCAATAACTTTAGTGAAAATAACTTTTTATTTTGTGTGTGGGTATAAATTAAACAATTTCAGGTTAGGATTTAATACGAAAATGCATATTTAACAGTGCTTTTAACTTCCAAAAAGAAACGTCAAATCGCAACTTTAAAGTGAATTTTGGGTAAGTACTGCACTTTTGCGTACTTTTTTTTAATCATTAACTCCTCTTTTGAATCATTTCCTACCGATTAAAAAAAAATCATCGATTTTTAAAACGGACTGCTATTCCTAATTTATTCCAAATATTGTATAACTTGTTATTCAACTTACCCCGTCGTTGTTTTTACAGAAACTAATTGTTCGTCGATTGAAAACGTTCGTTGACCTCTATAAAAAAGTATAATTAAAAGCTTGAAAAGTTTAAAAAAAAGTATGGCAAACTAAATTAAAAAGTACCTTTGATTTTTAAAAAACGACTTTACAATAAATAAATTTTCACGTCGTTCCATCCGATTTAAAATTAACCCAAAATGACAAAACAAACAAATTTCAAAAAAAAATGTCACATCATTATTGACGTTACCCTCATTGACTCTCAAAAAAGTTAAAAAAAAAATTAGAAAAATAATAGATGGCTTTTTAATAAAAAAAAAAGAACTGTTGTTTTTTTAAAAAAAGTCAAATTGTGACAAAAAAATTTGCTGTTATTATGCATTAGTGGATCTCCAATACACACATACAAACGGTACGTTTATTAAAAGAAATTCAATTTGAAAACGAATTAAATTGTTAAAATTAATTTGTTTATTAGCTCCCAAATTTTTTCGCTGTAAATTGCCTGACTTTCGCTTAAAATGTCCGCGACGGTGCAAAAACGGCAAAAGAAAATTGTGAAGAAAGACAACAAAGAAGGTGATAACAAGCTGGATGCTGTCTCCCCAAAACCCAAATTAACCGAAACCGGTGCCAAATCGGAAAAGAAACCGAAGGCAACCAAAGGAGCCAAGAAAGCCGAAGGTGCCAAGAAAGCAGCGCGAAAGTAATCAACATTTTCAATAAAATCATTTGGGTTTGGAAATTAATAAAGATCTAAATTAAATTTAATGGGTTTTATAATTACGATAAGTATCAAAAATAAACAATAAAATTCAAAATTATTTTAAAAAAATCTTACCCTCGACTATTTCTACGTAAACTAAACCGATTAGAAAACAATCGCATCATTTTTAGCTTCGAAATATGAAACTTTAAGACACAATTCACTGTTAATTTTTATTTTAAAGCACTCTTTAAGTGTATGAATTATTAATGGGGATGAATCGTTTGAAGTGAAGAAGCTGGTCCCAGGGGTTTAGTATTATTGTTTTCCGGAGGCAACAAGATCGATAAATGGAAAGCGCAAAAGCGTTTTAAACGTCGCCCTACTCGACCGAGAAACGGCAAACGCTGGATTTCGTTATTCGATGTGATTTCAGAGGCACTTTTTATCTTCGTTGTTGGCACGTCGTTTTGTCAGCGGGCATTTCGACCGCAGACAGAGATACACTGCCCCGAAAACGGGGTCTCCCAAAAAGTGTCATGCGCAAATCTCAATAACACAGAAATTAAAATTAAAAACGATAAATTAACCGACACAACAAAAAAGAACTGTAATTTTAATGCTTTCTTTTTTTTTCGTTACGATTCTAATCTGATTGAGTAAACGAGGGTAGTTTTAATCTCGTGTAATTTACATAATGTTGCGTGATTTCCGTTTGATTTTATGTTTTTCTTTCGCTTTTGTTAATGAAAAGAAAGTACTTACGTGGGGCTTGGAATTTGATTCGATGCAGCGAATGGTGAATCGTTGGCGTCGAAAAAATCGTCTTCCTCCTCTGAACTTGAATAAGACATAACGGGAACTACTAAAGACGGAGAAGTTGCTAAAATAATTAAAAAGTAAAATTCATTATTCCAAGAAAAAAAATTATTTATAAATTTTACTACTAGGAATTTACTAGGTACTAGGAATTTCATGTAACTCGCAATATATGAATGCAATAACCATAGCTACTAGCATGAGTAGTTGTGTAAAGTAAAAGTCTTGCTTGGAAAAAGGTGATTTATGATAATCCTGAGTTTAGGGCGGTCTTAAAAGACGCACGACTATACCCGAATGTTTCTGGTTCTAGGTCTAGTGTTAGCTCTACTTTTCGTTCAATAAAAATAAACCACAAACTAAAGTTGAATGACAATTAAAACTAGAACTAACACTAGATTTAGAACTAGAAACACTCCACTCGACGTTTCTAGTTCTAGGTCTAGTGTTCTTTTACATTTTGTTTAATAAAAATATATCATAATCTAACGTTGAATAACAATTAAAACTAGAACTAACACTAGACCGAGAACTAGAAACATTCGGGTTTAGCCGCAAGTCTCTTAAGACGGCTAAACCCGAATGATTCTAGTTCTATGTCTTGTGTTAGTTCTAGCGATAGTGCTAGTACAATACTAAAACTAACACTAGACCGAAAACTAGAAACATTCGGATTTAGCCGCACGTCTCTCAAGACGGCTAAACCCGAATGATTGTAGTTTTAGGTCTTGTGTTAGTTCTAGTAATAGTGTAAAACTAGAACTAACACTAGACCAAGAACTAGAAACATTCGGATTTAGCCGCACGTCTCTCAAGACGGCTAAACCCGAATTTTTCTAATTCTAGGTCTAGTGTTAGTTCTAGTTTTAATTCAATAAAAGTATACAAAAAAGTATACAACATTATGATATCTTATGTTAACTAGCACTACCTACCACTGTAACTAGACCTACAACCAGGAACATTCAGACATGTTGCATTTTATGTGGAACAAAGTAAGTAGGCACGCCCTGATTTCTATGGAAACATACAGTGTGTCCCAGGATAGTTGCTACAAGAGGTATAATGACTTAAAAAATTTTGAATTTTCATTTATGGCTGAGGAATGAAGCCTTGCTTGGTGTGGAGAGAATTTTAAGTATATTTTCATATTTTGAAAATCAACTCGGCCTTGATAGTGAAGCTAAAACAATTTTTAGTTCAGAGAAAGTAAGTTTTTTGATCCTGAATATCATTAAGAAAAGTTGTTCAGAATGAGAAATTATGGCACTATGCAAAATTTCAGAAAGGTCTACCTACATTGATTAAACCATCATATTTTAGATAAGAATTTTTTTTTGCTGATAGAAAGACAGGCAATTTATTTCCAACACGATGGATGCTCTGCACATTCTACAGCACGTGTAGCTGAATGGTTAAATTTCATATTTCGAGAAAGATTATATCTAGAAATGGTCAAATTGCGTGGCCTCGAAGGTCTCCCGACCTTACTAATTAGATTTCTTTTATGAGGTCGCCTTAAATAACTAGTTTTTGCTCAACCAATATCGAACAGTGTGCAACAAAAGGTGGATGTTATGTTGAATAAACGACAATTAAGTTTACGTTCGATTTTCTATAAATAAAATAAAATTATATTATTTGAACTAAAATGTGACGGTTCAACCAAAGTAGATAGAATCCTTTTGAAATTTTGCATAGGACCATAATTTTACATTTTGAACAACTTTTCTTAATAAAATTTTTGAGTATCATGAACAAAAAGGTTATTTTACCTGAACTAAAAATAGTTTTCGCTTCACTATCAAGGCCGAGTTGATTTTCAAAATATAAAATATACTTAAAATTCTCTCCACACCAAGCAGGGCTTAATTCCTCAGCCTTAAAATAAAATTCAAACATTTTTAAGTCACTATACCTCTTGTAACATCTATTCTGGGACACACTGTATTTTTGTATATTGTATTTTAAGTGAAATTCGCTACATTTTCAATTATATCCAGTTAATAGGAATCCAAACAAAACCTATTTTGCTACTTTTCAAGATATTTCGACTTTTTTATAAAATCCAAGCTGAAAACAACTGATTTTGGAAATATTTCGATAGATAATTGAAAAACACGTAAAATGAGTCCAAACTCGACATATCTAAGTATTATAATACGCGAGATATCTTTGTTTTTTAAAACCAAGATGGCGGAAAACAAAACACTAAAAATTGTGCCATCTATGTTTACAAAAGTTAATTTTATAGTAGATATAGAGTGTGATACATCAAATTTGAGTAAAATTTTCTGGTTGTTACGAAAATCTTGTTTTTTATTCAATTCATTGCGCCCATACAGTTCACTTTTTCCATCATCCATAGCAGGTCTTTAGAAAATATCTAACCCTTAATGCTACAGACACTTTTCCTGACTTTCTACAATCCCGTAAAACATGATGAGATATGATTAAAAGTAATCTGGATGTTTTTATGAATGATTTGTAAGGTAATTTTAATATACTATAAAAACACGAGAATGTTGTGTGTAATAAAAAATTTGTGATAACTTTTTGCTGCTCTATTAGCTGCAATAAAAATTAAAGGATAAGGTTGGATTAAGATTTCGGGGTTCAATCAAATTTTGTAAAAATGAAAAAAGTTTTGCTTGGAAAAAGGTGACGTATGATAACCCTGAGTTTTCGGCCGTCTTAAGAGACGCATGGCTAAACCCGAACGATTTTACTTCTAAGTTTGTTCTAGTGATTGTGCAAAACTAGAACTAACACTAGACCAAGAACTAGAAACATTCGGGTTTATCCGCACGTCCCTCAAGACCAGGGTTAGGCATAATACACTAAAAAATAAATGCAAGAAACGCAGTGGTAGTTAAAATACGAATTTCATCATCACTGAATATTTAGTGATAGTGGAAAAAAATTACATTATCACTAAACCTTTAGTGATAGTGAAAAAAAAATTGCACTACCACTAAATATTTAGTGATAGTGAAAACCTTTAGTGATAAATAAGATTTTTCAGTAACATAACACTGCTTCTTGAAGAATAAAAGTAAGACTATACATATAAGCTGACACTGAATAAGGAAATGTATTCCAAAGTCGTGGAAAAGTCGTTCAAAAAAGCAGTCGTGAAAAAAGCATTTTTATCAACAAAGTAATTGATAACTAATATCGGACATAAAATATAAATTCAAATGTATTTAGTTAACATGTTTCACTAAAAGTTTTGTGATAATGCATTTTCTTCACTATCACTAAATTTTCAGTGATAATGGATTTTGTGTTTTAACTACCACTGAATAGACAGTGGTAGTGCAATTTAGTGGTAGTGTAAAAATGCCCAACCTTGGTCAAGACGGCTAAATCCGAATGATTCTAGTTCTAGGTTTTGTGCTAGTTCTAGTGATAGTGCAAGTGTAAAACTAGAACTAACACTAGAGCTAGAACTAGAAACATTCGGATTTAGCAGCACGTCTCTCAAGACGGCTAAACCCGAATGATTCTAGTTCTAGGTCTTGTGTTAGTTGTAGTGATAGTGCAAGTGTAAAACTAAAACTAACACTAGACCTAGAACTGGAAACATTTGGGTTTAGCCGCACGTCCCGCAAGACGGCTAAACCCGAATGATTCTAGTTCTGGATCTTGTGTTAGTGCAAAACTGGAACTAACACGAGACCAAGAACTAGAAACATTCGGATTTAGTGGCACGTCTCTCAAAACGGCTAAACCCGAATGATTCTAGTTCTAAGTCTTGTGTTAGTTTTAGTGATAGTGCAAGTGTAAAACTAACACTAGACCTAGAACTAAAAACATTAGGGTTTAGCCACACGTTCCGCAAGACGGCTAAATCCGAATGACTCTAGTTCTAGATCTTGTGTTAGTGCAAAACTAGAACTAACACTAGACCAAGAACTAGAAACATTCGGATTTAGCGGCACGTCTCTCAAAACGGCTAAACCCGAATGATTCTAGTTCTAGTTTTACACTTGCACTATCACTAAAACTAACACAAGACCTAGAACTAGAATCATTCCGGTTTAGCCGTCTTGAGAGACGTGAAGCTAAACCCGAATGTTTCTAGTTCTTGGTCTACTGTTAGTTCTAGTTTTGCACTATCACTGGAACTAACACAAGACCTAGAACTAGAATCATGCGGATTTAGCCATCTTGAGAGACGTGCAGCTAAATCCGAATGTTTCAAGCTCTTGGTCTAGTGATAGTGCAAAACTAGAACTAACACTACACCAAGAAGTAGAAACATTCGGGTTTAGCTGCACGTCCCTCAAGACGGCTAAACCCGAATGATTCTAGTTCTAGGTCTTGTGTTAATTTTAGTGGTTTCTGTGTTTTCATGGTTTCTATGGAAATATATTTTAGTGTATTGCATTTTAAATGAAATTCACTGTATTAAAAAATACATACGAATCGTTGAACGCCTNGGGGTTCAATCAAATTTTGTAAAAATGAAAAAAGTTTTGCTTGGAAAAAGGTGACGTATGATAACCCTGAGTTTTCGGCCGTCTTAAGAGACGCACGGCTAAACCCGAATGATTTTAGTTCTAAGTCTTGTGTTTGTTCTAGTGATTGTGCAAAACTAGAACTAACACTAGACCAAGAACTAGAAACATTCGGGTTTATCCACACGTCCCTCAAGACCAGGGTTGGGCATAATACACTAAAAAATAAATGCAATGAACGTTTCACTACCACTACTTCTTCAGTGGTAGTTAAAATACGAATTTCATCATCACTGAATATTTAGTGATAGTGAAAAAAAATTACATTATCACTAAACCTTTAGTGATAGTGGAAAAAAAATTGCACTACTACTAAATATTTAGTGATAGTGAAAACCTTTAGTGATAAATAAGATTTTTCAGTAACATAGCACTGCTTCTTGAAGAATAAAAGTAAGACATGTATATAAGCTGAGACTGAATAAGGAAATGTATTCCAAAGTCGTGGAAAAGTCGTTCAAAAAAGTAGTCGTGAAAGAAGCATTTTTATCAACAAACTAATTGATAACTAATATCGGATATAAAATATAAATTCAAATGTATTTAGTTAACATGTTTCACTAAAAGTTTAGTGATAATGCATTTTCTTCACTATCACTAAATGTTCAGTGATAATGGATTTTGTGTTTTAACTACCACTGAATGGACAGTGGTAGTGCAATTTAGTGGTAGTGTAAAAATGCCCAACCCTGGTCAAGACGGCTAAATCCGAATGTTTCTAGTTCTAGGTCTTGTGTTAGTTTTAGTGATAGTGCAAGTGTAAAATTAGAACTAACACTAGAGCTAGAACTAGAAACATTCGGATTTAGCAGCACGTCTCTCAAGACGGCTAAACACGAATTATACTACTTCTAGGTCTTGTGTAAGTTCTAGTGATAGTGCAAGTGTAAAACTAAAACTAACACTACACCTAGAACTAGAAACATTTGGGTTTAGCCACACGTCCCGCAAGACGGCTAAACCCGAATGACTCTAGTTCTAGATCTTGTGTTAGTGCAAAACTAGAACTAACACTAGACCAAGAACTAGAAACATTCGGATTTAGGGGCACGTCTCTCAAAACGGCTAAACCCGAATGATTCTAGTTCTAGTTTTACACTTGCACTATCACCAAAACTAACACAAGACCTAGAACTAGAATCATTCGGGTTTAGCCGTCTTGAGGGACGTGCAGCTAAACCCGAATGTTTCTAGTTCTTGGTCTAGTGTTAGTTCTAGTTCTTGGTCTAGTGTTAGTTCTAGTTTTGCACTATCACTAGAACTAACACAAGACCTAGAACTAGAATCATACGGATTTAGCCGTCTTGAGAGACGTGCAGCTAAATCCGAATGTTTCTAGCTCTTGGTCTAGTGTTAGTTCTAGTTTTGCACTAACACAAGATCTAGAACTAGAATCATTCGGGTTTAGCCGTCTTGCGGGACGTGCGGCTTAACCCAAATGTTTCTAGTTCTAGGTCTAGTGTTAGTTTTACACTTTGCACTATCACTAGACCAAGAACTAGAAACATGCGGATTTAGCGGCACGTCTCTCAAAGCGGCTAAACCCGAATGATTCTAGTTCTAGTTTTACACTTGCACTATCACTAAAACTAACACAAGACCTAGAACTAGAATCATTCGGGTTTAGCCGTCTTGAGAGACGTGCGGCTAAATCCGAATGTTTCTAGTTCTAGGTCTAGTGTTAGTTCTAGTTTTGCACTATCACTAGAACTAACACAAGACCTAGAACTAGAATCATGCGGATTTAGCCATCTTGAGAGACGTGCAGCTAAATCCGAATGTTTCAAGCTCTTGGTCTAGTGATAGTGCAAAACTAGAACTAACACTACACCAAGAAGTAGAAACATTCGGGTTTAGCTGCACGTCCCTCAAGACGGCTAAACCCGAATGATTCTAGTTCTAGGTCTTGTGTTAATTTTAGTGGTTTCTGTGTTTTCATGGTTTCTATGGAAATATATTTTAGTGTATTGCATTTTAAATGAAATTCACTGTATTAAGAAATACATACGAATCGTTGATCGCCTTCTTGCATTTTCTGTACATTCTGATCCTAATTCTACACCCTGTTGGACTGTTGTATCTCCTAAACCTGGTGGAACACCAGCTTTGTATTAAAAACAAATCCAATTCAGTGACGTTAAAAAAAAAAGAGAAATTAAATTTTTTACCTGCGTTACTATGAGTTGATATGCTTAAGTGTTGTTGGTAAATTCCATTAATTGGATGTGCTGTATTCTAAAATAAATATAAAAAGCAATAATAATAAAATAAATTCCAAACTAAAAAATACAAACCTTAGCTATTTGAAGCAAAACTATGGAATGTTTAATATCATTTAACATTGCCTGGAAATTACAATAATAAAAAGATAGACATTTATTTTTGATTAACGTTACACAACTTACGTTTGCGTGATCTAAAATCAACTGACACTTAGTTTTTTCTTGAGGATCTTCAATGTGATCAATTTTCTCCTCTAAATTCTAAAACAAAAATAAGATACATATAAATAACCGGTTTTTATCAACTTCGTTTAAGCACATATTCTTTAAGTTTTAAATTGAACAAGTTGTTTAAAAGAACTTTAAAAAGCTCCCATCGGAACGGAACTGCGAAATGCGGATAAAATCCACCACCACCAACAACCCTGTCCACCTTGAAAATAAATTTTTTGGAACCCATCCAAATGTAGAATTCTCGTAAATAAACCACCTCCCTTCGCAATAAAAATTACATAACACCTTTTATTCTAAATTAAAAAAACAATATTTACTTATTTTTTATCTCACCTTTGTTTGTTCAATCATTAATTGTAAATAAGCGTCCGCTTCGGATACTTTATAATCGAAATCTTTCATTGTGGGAGGAGGTCTGGACGATTCCCATCGCATCTGGAAGCAGAAACAGAACATTCTTTGGAAACACGCCGCACACCGTTCGAATAACAACATTCTCGATTCCGATTCGTAAGACATTTAACGTTTAAAGAACCCAACCAGAACTGTTGATGTTTATTTTACGCGGTATATCGTAGTAAAACCTGAGACGAAGACGTAAACGTGCGCCGATAAAGCGTAAAATCCATTGTTTTGCAAACGCCGCGATGAAGTTACTAATGAAAATGTTTATTAGGCGATAGATACGATATATGCCGAAGTCTAAAACGTATAAAGAGTCGAGAAGTTAATTACAGTGTAATTTTGTTATAGCAAGGTTGCGCGTAGATAATGACCGAAAAGGGGACAATTAAAAGTTATTTTTGTGTAATAAAAATATGGTTCGGGAAATAAAAAATGTTCGTGTTTTTTTGTTTTAAGTATAAACACAGTTGTTTTATAACAAATTTTATTCTAATTCAAATGCAAAGTGATTGATTTATGGTACGCTTTAAAACAAATCCAAGCAAGATAAAGGAATAAATCTTTTAGTTTTTAGATGTAAAAGGTATGCTATTTTAGTTTGTTGCTGTGTCATACAAATCACACCACTTAAATAATATATCACTCCAATTTAGAAATAAATCAACAATTTTAATTTTGTAACGATTTATGATTTTTAAAATACTATCTTGACGAAATTAACTTTTCTAACACTGAAAAATAAAAAAGTCGCTTAATATTGACTTTTCTTTCTTTAAGATAATTAAAAACTGTAATCATAAAGCAGTTCCGATTCGTTTCGGATAAAAATCCTTCAAATTAACTTCATTATCATGTGATAGAATTTGAAATGCGAGTGCTAATCATATTCTTTTATAGTAGATAAAGATTATAAATCATCCCAGATAAAGATTATCATCCCAGCAAGTGGCCAAGAAGTCGGTAGCGTCTTAACCGTAGCAAACAGCTGTGAGAGGAGTCTAGATTATATTGTTCTAACGCGATTAACTTGCTAAATCTGGATTCGCGCGCATATTAAGGTTTTAGAAGAATCCAATTTTGATTGGGTAAGTGTAAAAAGACTGAATTTGCGAAAAAGCGGAAAATGCTGCGTAAATCCGTATTGACGAGGAAAGTACTTTATCTACGCCACTACATGCTGGGATGAGATTGGTTGGTGAGGAGGAGAGCCACTGAATTCCAATTGGGAGATAAGCAAGGTTTATTTTGCTAGATAAAACATGCTACAACATGCTAAGGCTACTACTTGGCAATTTCTGGACGAATTAATACCGCATTCACCAACAAACCATGACTAATTAATATCACATTATCGGATACATAAATGACATGCTGTTGTACATAATGTAATTGTCTTCACTCAGAAGAAAAACAACAATTGTCACAGTTAAATTCGTTAAAATCTTTCAAACCACATGAAAAGATAAAATTTTATTCTCAATTATGTCAGCTACAGTTTCCATACCTAGATTCTAATGGAGGTTGCTGTTGAGTATGTACACTGTTGGAAATAATTCACGAGCACACCCTATATAATCTGAACGCGTGAAGATAAATCCATAATATTTGCGGTGCTTAAAGGTATACTGTAGACGAGTTTCGAATTTTTCTGCCGCAGCGTTGTTGATTGAGCCGCCCTTCCAAGTGGAACATTCCGTCGCTATGGAAACCGAAGTGGGTGGTAAATACCGGTTGTTTTTAGTGTGATGTGAGGGACCAGTTTGTTGTCGTATTCTGTGCGCAATGGAAGGGACATCGCGTTACTTAAGCGAGTTTGAGTGAGGAATGGTTGTGGTGATGCATATTGAAAGTGTATCGTCTCGTGAAATTGCGCGTAGTCTCCAGCGGTCGTTATCGGCAGTGGCCGGTCGTTATGGTTCCATGGCCAGCACGTTCTCCGGATTTGAATCCATTCGAACATGTTTGGACATGATTGGTCAGAGACATCAACGTTATCTGGCTCCCTTGGTTAACGTTGAGGAGCTATGGAGTCGAGTTGAGGCGGCATGGTTGGCCATTTTTCCCGCTACAATACAGCGACTTATCGACTCTATGCCACGTCGTGTAGCGATGGTACGCGTTGTTCACGGGGATATTCTCGTTATTGATATATCCTCTCCCAGAGGATAGTTGCGAGAGTTGCGACGCTCTTCATGTGAGGGTTAGTTACACTACTTTAGTACTACTTCCATACCAAATTTCATAGCGCTAGACACACGCGTTCAGATTATACAGGGTGTGCTCGTGAATTATTTCCAACAGTGTATCATGGAACATTGATGACGTATCTCAGTAAATACTTTCTTTTGAAATGCCTTAATAATATGTATATTGTGTTAGGGTGGCCGAAATGAAATCAATCTCACTTATTTTAATAATAATACAAAGAATATAACATACAAAACGATCTTAACTGACCCACGTCTCATCTCGTACTGTTCGCCCTCCCCACGCCTTCCAACTATCGTTCCTTCGCGCCTATATTCACATTACTCTAACATTCGGCTTCGCTACCTTCACCATCGTTCCCGATGGTGGCGTTTTCTTCGATTTCGGAGAGTTAACACCATAGTTTCATCCTATCGGGTGAGTAAACAGATTTAAATGGTCGTTGTGTTCGTTCAGCACCTTCAATATCAGATAATACATATCGATCTTGTCTCAACTATGACGTATGGACCTTTAAACAATAGTTGCAACTTTCTCCTTTCACTTGTAGCTATCGGTTCCCTCTTAATCAAAACCAAATCGTCTTCTTTGTATTGTTTTGGAATTACACACTTTTTCGAATCGTTCTTTTTGCTTCTGCTGGGTTATTTCTATCTTTTCCAAAGCTTCTCTCCTCATTTCATCGCGTTCCTCTTCGTTATATCCTCCTTGCTCTAAAGTTAGTATTAACTGGTTTTGTAGGGCATTCCTAGGTTGGTAACCAAATAATAAATCATGGGCAGACTTTTCAGTAGTTTTATTCGGAATACTATTGATGGCATACTGAATATTTGATAGTTTGGCGTCCCAAGCTTTCCCATCTTCACGCGCACTCATCGTTCTTATTGCTGTGGTGATCGTATGATTGTATCGTTCTACTTGACCATTTGCTCGTGGAGTGGATATGGCATTCTTAATAAGTATGATATGGTTTTCTCTGCAATATTCTTCACCGTAAATGCCGTACCCCTGTCCGTAATTAATCTAGTCGGAGGTCCATCTATACTAACGATCTCGTTCATCACATTGAAGACGTTCCTCGTCTTAGTGTCTTTAATAGCTATCATATATACATACTTCGTAAAGTTATCAACACATACCAGAATATAGACGTTACCTTTTCTACTCTTGCTTCTTGATAAGCACATGCGATGCATGAATCTATGTAGCTCTTCACCTTTTCAACAAATCACGTTCTTGCTGCAAAAGTCGTCTTTCCCAATGGATGTTAAGAGTAAATTCAGTTGCGTCCAACGTAATCTTTTCGCTGAATCCCGGGATTTTCGGGATTATAAGAAAATTGAAATAATTAACTTATTTTGTAAAAATTAATCAGTTTCTTTCAGCCACGTAATGGCCGATATACTGACTGATACGACTCGTGTGTCAGAGTCAGTATCAGTACGTGAACCGACACGATATTCACTACATGAAATGGTGAATAAATGCATTTTAAAAGTAATAGTATAAACAGTGCATTTTAAAAGTAATATTAATTGATATACAGGATGTTCAGAAATTGGCGGATAATCTACACGTAGCGACATTCTTCGTGCGATTCTAAAGCGAAAATCTTAATTGTAAAATGTTGTATCATGCTTCATACGTCTATAGGAGGTTCTCAAAGGTAGGATAATTTGTAAATAAATAATCATTAATATTCGATATTTGTTGATAAATAAGCTGTAATTTTGAATAAAAAAGCTAGTATTTTTGTTAAAGTTATTTTCTTTAGCTTTAAAGTTTGTTTTTAACATTTTTTCATTATCATATCTTCATGAATAACACATTTGGCAACATGTGTTCTGAGTTCATTCTGAACAGCCTCTATATTTAGTCAAATTAATTTGATTGCACTTGTATTTAAAAAAATATCCTTGGAAACGTGTCTGAAAAAGAACCATCTTTTATTATTTAGAATAATAAAGATAAAGACTCAACATCTGTGTGGTCGCATTATTTAAAGTCGAGTGGCAATAAAACTGTAAAATTTAAGAAATGTGGATCTATCCTAAATTTAAAAAAGTGGGTGATTCTACAAAAGGCCTTCATACGCATTTATTAACAAAGCATAATTTGAAAGTACATTCAGCTGAGCAAAATTTGCCTAGCGCTAGTCAAGAACATAATTATGAGCCTCCTATGAAACGAAAATTGACAGATTACTTTATATCGAAAAAAAATCCACATTAGACGAAACACTGGCCCCTATGACAGCTTTACACAGACTAACATTTAATGTATTCGTAAATCACACAACATATATAATTTCCATTTTAAATCCATTTTAACGACTTTTTGTTTTAATAACACTTTTCACTTCGATTTAACTTTATCTACTTATCCCTCTGCTGCTTTGTTAGGGTGGCCGAAATTAAATCAATCTCGCTTATTTTAATAATACAAAGAATGTAACATACAACTATCGTTCCTTCCCGCTTATATTCACAATATTTGCTAACTCTGGCACAACCTCAAAGTTGGCACTCATATAGCTGACCCATACTGATCTCAGTATTAGTGGATTAATAGTTTATTGTGAATGGTTAATGTCCTCTTTTCTTTTATTTATGACGTAGATTTTCCAGTGCAGTCTCGCGCCTAAGGCGTCGCTATTTTTTTTACTAAAAGTTCTAATTATTCGGTGTTTTTATCTTTAAGAGTCGTTTTGAGGCTGCCTCAATCCGTTTTTTATTGATTAAGGTTGGATTATATTTCTTTTTGTCATCATGTGTTCTTTTCATCATCAATATGTTTTTATGTAGATAAGGAAATCGATAAAATTGTGGATTATGTTTCTATCATTAGGACAGTATGTTGGGATTATGGTAAAATAATATACTGGGATTTAATTATTAAATCGCGCATTGTTCACACGTTCACGTTGTTGAAAGAATTTGATAATAACTAAAAGCCGACTTTTATTTATTATCATGCCCATTCCTTACTCACAACCAGATTTTGACATATTACTTTCTTAGCTAATTACATACATTAAACGTAATTTACTTCTAAATAATATATTTATTAATTTTCTTATTTAGATGCGAAGATTTCTTCGTCTTCATAATTAGTCATTTCATTTTATTAATTTTTTGTGGCTAACTATTTAAGTATTGTTGTAATGGAATCTGAAACTGACCTACACAGCAAAAGACACCTCTTGAAGAGTGAATGTGAATATTAATCTTTTTAATAACAATCTTCAATAAAGAAAATCATAAATATGTATATATAACAGTTAATATTTCTTGCTTCAAAACCTTCCTACTTAAAAAAAATCTTTAAAATATTCCTTCTAAAGTCATACACCCTCCCGCGTTCATAAAATCTGACGCATACATTTTACTTGATAAAACCCAAACCACATAGTGTACACGAAACCTTACGTGTTACGCGCATAATGATATACGCGCAATTTTATTGCATATAAACACGAGATTTGATCGCATCGATACTCCAAAAATGAATAAACGCAATTTTTTTTTTTAATTATTTCTTATTTTTTTATCACATACCCTACTTCCATGCCTAAAAATTGTATCCTCCAGGGCTCTAACCCACTTTTCTCGTTCTTCCGCGTCCCTAGCTTGGAAATGGAACGTCTTATGATCTACTGTGATGGTGAATGTGCTGTCATCCTCATCGTCTATACCAATTACAGCACCTTTTAAACGTACGCAACCTCTACGTACACCACGTGTCATCTTTTCTTTTGACTATAACAAAAACATAAATAAAATAATTTATTATATTTTAATTAATAAAAAAATTTTATCACGTTCTTGTTAATTAACACAAATTATATCAACCCAATTATGGTAATTAAAATGTCTTGCAATATTGTTTTGTTGGGTAATTCTTACACAATATCACAAAATATACTTATTATTTACCAATTAAATTTTATTATTCATAATTCTTTTAATAAAACTGTTGACAAGGAGGTAAATTAAATCAATCAATCTACATGTGTTTATTTTTCAAAGAATTTAAGCGTATAATCAAGTTATAAAATACACATTGTCCACGACCTTAACTTAAATAACGACGTTGTTACAACAAAAATGACCTCACTCCTTTTTTAAGGCGTTGTCGGAGATAAAAAACTTTTTCTACACTATTTAAAACTAACAAAATTGACCTTGTACAAAAATGTCAACTATTTATTGTTAAAATCGTCGATGGAGTGTTAAATAATGAAAAAATATTTGAATGGAAGGTGAGATTAAGGTTGATTTATGCACATTGTGTTGTGTTTTCTAAGGTTAAAAACAAACGGTGAAAATGTGTGCCAGTTTTAATGAAAAGTAAACAAAGAAAACGATAAAAATCCCGCTCTATTTTGCAAATTGTAAATGTACGTAAATCAAAAACAGATCGCAGTATCTAAAAATACTATTTATCAAAGGTACATTTTAAAGTGGCATCAAATAAACAAAGCGATAATGTTTTTTTTATTTTTAATGGCAATTAACTTAAGTTAATTTGATAAATAAATAAATTTTAACGTTTTAACACCAAAAACGGGTTTCTTTAAGAACAAATTTATACGATTTGAATTGTTAATGACCGACTCTTTTTCAAGTGGCTTATAGGTTATGTTTTGGTAGATGTGTTAGATTATCTCTTACCGTGTAATAAGATAATAATCCGGAATTCTCGTCCAAAACGAACCACCTGTATTGCCATCCCTTCATCACATTCGTCCATTTACTTAGGGATCCTTCCATTACGGCCATGTTTAGTTTTCGAATCGTTTAAAACTGACGTGAAATCGCCGCTTTTTGACAGGTCAGGTGCCGGCATTGCCAACGTTAATACGCATGCGCCACCTTGTCATTATTAATTGAATTAAAAGCTCGTGTCAACAGAAACCAAATCAATAAATTAATTCATTAAATAGAAATGCTAATTAAATTAATAATTTTGTTTTTTTAAAAGTTTATTTTATTGATTTATTTCATTAATTTATTCTTTTAAATTGTGGCGATTACCGCCATCTAGTGGTAGAGGCGCGAGTGAAAACGATTTAGTTTCGGAAAGTTTTATATAGAGGGAGATTCGTTGGAGGGATTAATTTAAAATTTTAATTAATTTCTTTTTTGATTTAAATACATTTATTTGTCTAATACGGCGCTAAACACAATCGTTTTAGCCTACATAAAATATCACAATATTGACTTATTCTTTTTTCTTACTATCGTTTATTGTAGTTGTTAATTCTATTTATTTTTTCTTAATTAATTATTTCTTAGTCAACGTTTCATTAGAAATTTCCTATAATTTACGACCTGCGAGGGGGTTTACAGGCATAATGAACTTTACAAATATTACATTTACAATTTTCTTTTTTATAAACGATATGATACTGGGTTTACACCAGTCATTATAATAATAAAAGTATATGTACAGATATGTTTGGATAAATATGTAAAAGTTATGATTATTATTATTCTTTTTTGTAAGACACAAAAAGCAAAATGGTTTTGTGCTTGAAATAAGATATTTTTTTTATATAACAACAATGATAAATGATATGGAAACGGATTGTTGCAGATCCTTTAGTATTATTGATGACTTTGACCTTGAAATGTATTTTTATATATATAATCTCTTATCCATCTTTACACAACAACATATAAATTACATTTATGTACACGTAGAGGCTTAAATCTATACATCATCGCAAACTACCGAGAAAAATTGTATCATCAAGGTTATAGCTAAATATCTGGTTGTCTTCAACATTAAAACCACACTGAATGTATCAATATAATTCGTTTCCGGTCTAAAAATTGAACCAACCCCACTCATTTAGTTTTCTTTTTCTCAATGGAAATCAATTAACACGAGAGAACAACATACGTTTTAAATAAACACGTTGCATGCTGCACCACCAGGTGGTTATCAAATGCAACATGTTCCGTTTATTTTTGAAGCGACATATTCTACAATTCAGAATTAAGACCAGTATTTAACTTAGCCTGTGGTGGATTGTTGGAAACGATGTAAAGTCCACATTTCTTCTGCCCACATTAATTCTGTTACTAGATATTTAGGGGCAAAATAAGTGATATAAAGCATTTAGATTTTAAAATTTCTTGTAAATATTAAGTGTTGAAACGTGTAAGAACAAAAATAAGTCGGTTGGAATCACAATCTTGTTGAAAATAATAGATATTAAGATACTGAATTTGAAAATGATGGTGACCATAATGTTTTTAAATTGTTGCTAGATATTTAGGAGCAAAACGAAGTGAATTGACATCATTTTTAACTAAACCAATAGATATCCCGATGATGGAGCTTTAATTGAGTGATATGAACCATTGAAATTTTGAAATTTATTGCAAATATCAAGTTTTGAAGCGTGTAAGAGCAAAAATAAGTCGGTTGGAATCATAATCTTGTTGAAAATAATAGATATTAAGATACAGAATTTGAAAATGATGGTGACCATAAATTTTTTAAATTGTTGCTAGATATTTAGGAGCAAAACGAAGTAAATTGGCATCATTTTTAGCTAAACCAATAGATATCCTGATGATGGAGCTTTCATTGAGTGATATGCAGCATTGAAATTTTGAAATTTATTGTAAATATCAAGTTTTGAAGTGTGTAAAAGCAAAAATAAGTCGATTGGAATTATAATCTTGTTGAATATAATAGATATAAGATATTGAATATGAAAATGATGGTGACCATAAATTTTTTAAATTGTTACTAGATATTTAGGAGCAAAACGAAGTGAATTGGCATCATTTTTAACTAAACCAATAGATATCCCGATGATGGAGCTTTCATTGAGTGATATAAAGCATTGAAATTTTGAAATTTATTGCAAATATCAAGTTTTGAAGTGTGTAAGAGCAAAAATAAGTCGGTTGGAATCATAATCTTGTTGAAAATAATAGATATTAAGATACAGAATTTGAAAATGATGACCATAATGTTTTTAAATTGTTGCTAGATATTTAGGAGCAAAACGAAGTAAATTGGCATCATTTTTATCTAAACCAATAGATATCCCCATGATGGAGTTTTCATTGAGTGATATGAAATTTCTTGTAAATATCAACTTTGAAAATTATGATGACCATAAATTTTTAACTAAACCAATAGATGTCTCGATGATAGATCTTTCATTAAATAATTTTAAAAAAAATTTTTGGGAATTATTAATACAATCCATGTAGTTTCTAAATTGGCGATTTCTTCACTTTCACTTAATAAGCATCCCAGATATTTAAATATAATGCAGTCTATTGTTAATTTTTGTTGTTTTACTAAATCATGTTTTTTTTTAAGATTGTCTTTAAGAAATTCGTAAAAATTTTAACAATTATTAAAAAAGAAAATCTTCGACATAATTTTTTCTCCCATTCAGTTTTTTTTTTTTATAAAGTTCACTTCTTGGACGGTGGTATATACAAAAGAAAAATTTGATATTTTCAACATCACTTTTTCAATTTTTTATTCACTTTTTAAACACAACTTTCAGGCAGTCGATTCGCCATCAATCTTTCTTTAATTGCGAGACCGTTTAATTCCATATCCGTTGTTCTTTGTAGAGTTGATGAGTTTCCGTTGCCCAGGCGAAGGTCTTTTGGCCTTGAATCCCTTGGAAATGTGCCCACCATCGCTACGGGATTATTATATTGGTGATACTAAAACAATAATTAAAATAAATTTAATAAAAAAAATATTATTTCGCAACAAATTTACCAATGAATCCATAACAGGTGCTGCAGCTGGACTAACCCATTGGGGTTGGGCAATACCGACTTGGGAGTAACTACAGGAAGACGTCATTTTTGAAATGGGTAAAGTAGATGGGCCATTTCCCATTTGTCGATCACTTTCCCCATCGGGTGAACCATATTTAGCCGGAATTATATCGGGGTCTCTTTCATCAGAAAGTTCTCTAGGTGATGCACTTCTTAGTAAAGGTTTCGTTGATGAAAGAGTGTGTTGAGTTGAACCGCCGATACTTTTTTGTTCCAAATTAACTTCGGGTGGTCCTTGATTTCTTCTCACTCGGATTATGATTAACATAACGATTGTTATAACCGTGAAAGCAGCTCCGAGAACGATCCCCAAAAGCGGTGAGATGGAAATGTCGCCGTCGCTGGCTGTAATAAAAACAACTACGAAGAGTTAACATGTTTTTTATGGACATGAGACTATAAATAAATAAATCGTTTCTTTGCGTTTATTCGTTTAAACGGAAACGAAACAAGAACTAATTACAAGTTGTATTTCGTTGCGTTACTTCAATGCAGTTGTTAAGTTGAAATCGATCGTTTTTATTGTAGTCACGCGATCTTCCAAAGAAGTACTTTAAGTTGTAAAAGTTCTTCAATACAAGAAAATTTAGATGTTATCGTATGGAAGGAATCGGATTATAAAGAGTGAATGGAATAAAATTTAAAAAATGAATATTTCAAAAGTAGAAAATATTATTGAGAGCGTGATCGGATTAGTGATAAAACTGTTGTGCAACTGCAGTAATCTGAATATGGTAGTTATCAGTGCAGTGCCAACGAGGATATCCACGGTTATTTTTTGTGCCGTTTCGCTTGTTCTGACTCGTTTTATAATCGCAAACCTGCACTCTACTGCCAGATGATAGCGCTACTACAACCGGCCGGGCAGCGTATTACTCATTTCCATTCGGTTCAGATTGGATCCAGTTGATGCAATCCATCGACTTCTATTTATGACTCTCTGTAACGGTTAAATTCAAAATCCGGTCACTTTCCATGGATATTAATCAACTTTTACAAACAAAAAAATAACATTTCGAAAAATTTGCATCACCCAATTTAGGTTTTAGATTCTCATAAAACAAATCTAAAAGGGAATATATTTCCGTAAAAGAAGAAACGTTCACACTTTACATAGTTTCAGATTTCCTTATAGAAATAAAGTATAATCTACGATGGAAGCGCCTCCTTTTGAATACCACTGGAATTTGTTCGCCTTCTCCAAAAATTTCTCCAGAACTAGTTTTGCAGTTACTTGCAGCAACTCTTGCAGCCTAGCGCTGAAACTTTGTGTCGAGTTTATTCTTTTCTCACTTTGCTGTACTTTCAACTCCGCCTGGAGAAAATGCCGGGTACCGTGTATAGTTTTGGTTTCGTTTTATCGCAAAAGTTGCTCATTCCATGAATTGACCAATTTATCAAGTAATTACAGAAAACGTAGAAAAGTTTCAAAAAAGTATTGTGAAATAGCTTTATTTTTAGATGAAACGGATAAATAATTTATATGTACCTACATGTTAACTGGCGAAGTTTTAAGTACTTCAGGCGATGTTGCCAACAAACTTCAAGGAAACATCATGAATAAAATGGAAGTCAAATGTAATAGTAAACACAGGGTTGTTTAAGTTCTATTAAGCAAAGTTAATCCTGTTAAATCTGATTTTTAAATCATAATAATTAAATTACTTTCATTAATTAACATATTCATTACAACTTATTGTAATTAATTTAAATTATATTTCCGAGTCGTAAAGTTTTAACATCAAACAGTTTATTTTCGAAATTGGAAGTACTTTTAAGGTTGGAAATAAAACAAGTTTACGTTGATTGTAAAACTGCAAATTGCATCACGAAAGTACTCCGAATTGAGTCATCCAATAATCCATCCGCATTCAAACGGTGAAACTACTTAATAAAAACAAAGTGAATTTCCTTTCAACGTATATTAATTTTTTTATGAACCAAGTAGCATTGGAATCAAAAAATGAGACATTGTAAACTACCTCAAAGGAGAGTGGAAATTGGAGTGCTCGAAATGTGATCTTTGATGGAGTGCTTCAAACACCTCAATGCGCAAATCGATATCGATACTTCAAAAAAAAAGTCTACAAACTTTTGTTAGATTCAACTAGATTTAATTATGATTTAAAAAGTAACTAAACTTAAAAAAGTTGTATCACAAAAACGAATTGAGATATCACCATGAAATAAGAAGCAAGTTATAGCAAATTTAATTAGCTTTTAATGTGTCAAAGATTATTTCTTCGAATTTTCAAACTTTGGCGTTATGATTTTTTGAATACAACTCTGAAAAACCTAATCATTGTTGTTGGGGAAAAGTAACTAAACTTAAAAAAAATCGTATCTCAAAAACTAATTGAGATATCACCATGAAATAAGAAGCAATTTAAAGTAAATTTAATTGGTTTTGAATGTGTCAAAGATCATTTTTTCAAATCTTCAAACATTGGCGTTATGATTTTTTGAATACAACTCTGCGTAAACTTAATCATTGATGTTGGGCAAAAAAATTGTACCTCAAAAACTAATCGAGATATCGCCACGAAATAAGAAGCAATTTAAAGCAAATTTAATTGGTTTTGAATGTGTCAAAGATCATTTCTTCAAATCTTCAAACTTTGGCGTTATGATTTTTTGAATACAACTCTAATCATTGTTGTTGGGGAAAAAGTAACTAAACTTAAAAAAATCGTATCTCAAAAACTAATTGAGACATCACCATGAAATAAGAAGCAATTTAAAGCAAATTTATTTCGTTTTTAATGTGTCAAAGAGATCATTTCTTCAAATCTTCAAACTTTGGCGTTATGATTTTTTTGAATACAACTCTGAAAAACCTAATCATTGTTGTTGGAGAAAATGTAACTAAACTTAAAAAAATCGTATTTCAAAAACTAATTGAGATATCACCATGAAATAAGAAGCAATTTAAAGCAAATTTATTTGGTTTTTAATGTGTCAAAGAACATTTCTTCATATCTTCAAACATTGGCGTTATGATTTTTTGAATACAACTCTGCGTAAACTTAATCATTGATGTTGGGCAAAAAAATTGTGCCTCAAAAACTAATTGAGATATCGCCATGATATAAGAAGCAATTTAAAGTAAATTTAATTGGTTTTGAATGTGTTAAGGATCATTTTTTCAAATCTTCAAACTTTGGCGTTATGATTTTTTGAATACAACTCTGAAAAACCGAAATCATTGTTATTGGGGAAAATGTAACTAAACTTAAAAAAATCGTATCTCAAAAACTACTTGAGATATCACCATGAAATAAGCAGCAATTTAAAGCAAATTTATTTGGTTTTTAATGTGTCAAAGATCATTTCTTCAAATCTTCAAACATTGGCGTTATGATTTTTTGAATACAACTTTGCGTAAACTTAATCATTGATGTTGGGCAAAAAAATTGTACTTAAAAAACTAATTGAGATATCGCCATGAAATAAGAAGCAATTTAAAGTAAATTTATTTGGTTTTTAAGGTGTCAAAGATCATTTCTTCAAATCTTCAAACTTTGGCGTTATGATTTTTTGAATACAACTCTAATCATTGTTGTTGGGGAAAAAGTAACTAAACTTAAAAAAATCGTATCTCAAAAACTAATTGAGATATCACCATGAAATAAGAAGCAATTTAAAGCAAATTTATTTCGTTTTTAATGTGTCAAAGAGATCATTTCTTCAAATCTTCAAACTTTGGCGTTATGATTTTTTGAATACAACTCTAATCATTGTTGTTGGGGAAAAAGTAACTAAACTTAATAAAATCGTATCTCAAAAACTAATTGAGATATCACCATGAAATAAGAAACAATTTAAAGCAAATTTATTTGGCTTTTAATATGTCAAAGATCATTTCTTCAAATCTTAAAACTTTGGCGTGATGATTTTTTGAATACAACTCTAATCATTGTTGTTGGGGAAAAAGTAACTAAACTTAAAAAAATCGTATCTCAAAAACTAATTGAGATATCACCATGAAATAAGAAGCAATTTAAAGCAAATTTATTTCGTTTTTAATGTGTCAAAGAGATCATTTCTTCAAATCTTCAAACTTTGGCGTTATGATTTTGTGAATAAAACTCTGCATAAACTTAATCATTGATGTTGGGCAAAAAAATTGTACCTCAAAAACTAATTGAGATATCGTCATGATATAAGAAGCAATTTAAAGTAAATTTAATTGATTTTGAATGTGTCAAAGGTCATTTCTTCAAATCTTCAAACTTTGGCGTTATGATTTTTTGAATACAACTCTGAAAAACCTTAATCATTGTTGTTGGAGAAAATGTAACTAAACTTAAAAAAATCGTATCTCAAAAACTAATTGAGATATCACCATGAAATAAGCAGCAATTTAAAGCAAATTTATTTCGTATTTAATGTGTCAAAGAGATCATTTCTTCAAATCTTCAAACTTTGGCGTTAAGATTTTTTGAATACAACTCTGCATAAACTTAATTACTGATGTTGGGCAAAAAAATTGTACCTCAAAAACTAATTGAGATATCTCCATGATATAAGAAGCAATTTAAAGTAAATTTAATTGGTTTTGAATGTGTCAAAGATCATTTCTTCAAATCTTCAAGCTTTGACGTTATGATTTTTTGAATACAACTCTGAGAAACCTAAATCATTGTTGTTGGAGAAAATGTAACTAAACTTAAAAAAATCGTATCTCAAAAACTAATTGAGATATCATCATGAAATAAGAAGCAAGTTATAGCAAATTTAATTACTTTTTAATGTGTCGAAGATCATTTCTTCGAATTTTCAAACATTGGCGTTATGATTTTTTGAATACAACTCTGCATAAACTTAATCATTGATGTTGGGCAAAAAAATTGTACCTCAAAAACTAATTGAGATATCGCCATGATATAAGAAGCAATTTAAAGTAAATTTAATTGGTTTTGAATGTGTTAAGGATCATTTTTTCAAATCTTCAAACATTGACGTTATGATTTTTTGAATACAACTCTGCATAAACTTAATCATTGATGTTGGGCAAAAAAATTGTACCTCAAAAACTAATTGAGATATCGTCATAAAATAAGAAGCAATTTAAAGTAAATTTAATTGGTTTTGAATGTGTCAGAGATCATTTTTTCAAATCTTCAAACATTGGCGTTATGATTTTTTGAATACAACTCTGAAAAACCTAATCATTGTTGTTGGGGAAAATATAACTAAACTTAAAAAAAATCGTATCTCAAAAACTAATTGAGATATCGCCATGAAATAAGCAGCAATTTAAAGCAAATTTATTTCGTGTTTAATGTGTCAAAGAGATCATTTCTTCAAATCTTCAAACTTTGGCGTTATGATTTTTTGAATAC